ATGAAATTATGTAAAAGGTGGAGGAAAATACTCGTCGTATCGCGGCAGTGACTAGCTGTACTGCTGAACGCATAACGAGACGGCGCGTCATAAAAAATTATATTACTAGACAGATAAAGAAAAAACCTTTATTGTTACAATTTATGGAAATATTTTCGTGAAAAAATATCAATCGTTATAAAATCAACATCTCTTTGAGAAGAGGCTTCAAAAAAACGTGACGCGCCAATTTTAATATAGGATTATTTGTTCTGTAATTCGCTCTGTTTATTTAGCTGATTAAGATATTTTTATTACACTGAAAAAAAATGATGTGTTCAATAACACTATCTTAATTGAAAATAATTTTGTTAATTCGACAACACCGTTAATAAAAAACAAATACTTATGCTCTCGTTTTAATAAAATTTTATTTGTCCATTTTTTTCAGTATAGGTATAGGTCTTTATAATAACAACTTTGTGCTGACGCTTTACTTGTAAGGTATACAAAACTTTTGCTTTTGTGTTTTTTATATTTAACTATTGTTACTAACCAATTTTATACGTAAGCAATAAAGTTGTTATTATTATTTCATTTGCTAAAACACGTATATCAATCTTCTGCCGCCCACTCCCCTATTCAAACAATCCTGCATGTTTCATATTTTTGTCCAATATGAATTTTTCTTGTTGTGCAAAACGACTCACGACTCACACATTATCTGGACATTCAGATCTTTCTAAATAACGGTTGTTGTGTTCACGTGACCATTCACGCCGCGAGCCGTGGCCGATGGCCGTGGTAAGAGTGGTTGCAAACTGTTTCGAACTATCGACAGAAGTTTCCGCCTACCAGACGGGATTTAATTAAATATCGCTAAAGGTAGCGGTCGTAATGCGAAATCGCTATAAATCGACTCGCATAGAAATACACGTAACTCGGCCGCAGCAACGGCGGCGAAAATTTCAATACGCGCACGGAAAAAGCGATGTTTCAGACAGAACTTCCTCATAGTAATGTACGTCCGATAAAAAGTTCGCAATATGAGAATTCCATCTCATCATATTTTTAGCATTAGTAATCGATGTCTCCATATCATCGAAGAATAGATCATTCAATGAAAATTAATAGAATGTCTTAAAAGTGTCGCGCGACTCTTATTATAGATCCTTTTTTTAACTATATATACTTTATTTTCCAATGGCCGGGTAACAAGAATTTCTCGATTAAGCAGCTGAAAATTATGGAATCTCGTCGCGTCATTGCTCTTGCGTCCAAATTTTCTATTTTTCCTTCTACTCCACGCGTAACGAAGTTATTTCTTATAAAATCCCCCCTATGAGGTTTTTTTTTAACGAACCAAAACTAGAACGATCGATCGGCGGTACGTCCAACCGCAAAAACGCAAGCACGAAATATATCGAGCTTTTTTGCTCGTTTCTCCGACAGATTGCGCCGCCATACGTTCCTCGTTTTCGTTCCCCTATCATATGACAAATCGTTAGTCGAATATTATAAAACGAGACTTCAATTAAAGTAGATGCACCGTTGGATATCTTGAAACAGTGTGATGGTTGATTAATAATTTTGTCGAATAAAAGTTTTTCATTATTAATATAGTCAACGATATCGCAGTAAAAAATTTAAAATTTGTCTGGTGATATAAAACATGGATATATGAAAGCAATATATTTTTTCATTTAATGAAACTCAATCATATTAACTAACGAATCTTTAAACGTTTATTCATTTAATCGACGGCGACACACATTTGCTCCCGCATTTTATCAATAATATTCTACATTTAACGAATAATTTGCGAAAGCAGGAACGTCAAATATTTAATTACTAAATTGACTTGTATTATATATTGACACGTTACTTAACATTCTGATGTTATTGTGGAAAATATTGCGATGCAAATTACTTTATATCAGTCTCACCATTTCCCCGCAATTTTCCAATTTTAAATATCTAGAGAAATAAATCTTGAATTTCAACTGAAATTTACTAATGAAAACACACACACACACACATTTTTAAATTGTGGATACGGAAAACTTATTTAGAGGATGTTCAGTTTTAAAAGTCAAGCACATTTATTTCCATCAAATGATCAATTTGAAGATTCTGCAATACGTAATTGTACGAATGGCCTTAGTGAAATCGCTCGATACAATCGATGTTGGTCCGACTTTTAGGAGTAATTGTATCACAACAGTTGTATTGCAACAAGTATATCGTGCGTGAGGAAATTAACGACGAGCGAAAGTTCCACAATTAAGGTATCCTGTCTCGTACGAGTGTGTGACATCATTACGTTAATTATCTCAGGCAACTGCGTAATTGTATCTAGGACATAAATTACGATCTCTGTATGCTGTACGCGGTCGAAATTATCCGGAAAATTTCTGCCGAATTGCGACATTACACAATACGATGATTTGTACGACACGTTGTTTCTCGAGATCTTCTCGGTTTCGATTTTCAACGATCGTAATCCGCATTATTTTTAAAAATGGATTTCTGTTGACGTCAAAGATGAGGGACAGCCGTGTTATCACGATGATTCGTCGATATAAATACCCATGTTGTCTCCTCGAATAAATCACGAAGCACATAATTAATTGGGGCAATTGTCTGTCATATCGCGATAACGTCGAAATAGTTCAGTTTATTGATTAAATGGTAATGTCCATAATAAACACCATTAATTCAAGTAATGGTACTTGCTAAAGTTCAATAATATATGTCGCTATCATATTAAGTATTTGTTCAAGTAATGTTGAGAATTAAAAAGTTGTGGCAAGTTAATTAAATCAATAAATCATGGAAACAAAAACAATTGCGTGAAAAACAATTATTTAACTTTATCCTACGCTTTTATTAAGAAGTCTCATGATTCATCTATCTCTTTTTTATTTTGCCACTTCATCAACTCGTCGTAGTTAGGTTTCGATACCATAGGTCGCGGTCGATCGATTAGCGGGATTTCAATTAACCTCCGTAGGCAACGAAAAAGCTACTGGAGTTTCGGAGTAAAGGACAGAGGTAGGAAAGAGAAACGAGACGTGGCTCACGCGACCCAAACTTCTAAATACGGCTCAGTTTGCAAAACCATCGTAGGCTTTCATTGAACCTGGCTTCTACGATTGAGGCCCGGGTTGCCGATTCTTCTCTCCCACTACTGTATTCGTTCTAATTTTCCTTTCCCCTTTTAATTATAGTCACGTTCGTTCGCGATTCATTTTGATTTTTATATTTATATTGTTTATAATTCTTACACGTAGATATTTTGTTTAGCTCACAATATACATATATATATATATGTGTGTGTAGTTTTTATATACATAGATTTAAAAAAGAATATATATACATATATTCAGCACATTTGCATGTTAAAATCTCCTACAAGAATTTTATATTGCAGTTTGCGTATCTACTTTGTTAAGCATTTCGAAGGAACGAGAGAAAGTTTTCCCGAAACATTGTATAAAATAACAAAGAGGAAGTTTACTGTTCTACATCATATCCATCTATTCTATTTTATAAAACTACTCTCCCCGTCTCTCAAATGGACGAAGAATTCAAAGTAGATGTCGAGTTCGCGATTTGTGAGGAAGGTCCCATTTCCCCCGCTTTTCCCATTATGGATTCCCCGCGACACGCTTCCCCGCTTCGTCGCACACGAAAGCTGAAACTTTCGCTTAATGACAGAAGTTTTATTGCCGGCCATCGTTCAATCCGCCGACATCCTAGAAGCGAACGAACGAACGAACAGGGCATCGTGGTTTGTCTCTACAGGTACGTCTCTCTATCATTTTCAACTAATTTCTAATCGCAATTACGGTCAAAATTTGAAAACGTTAATTTTTATATTAACAAAAAAAAATAATGGCCAGTTGGTGGATTAATAACATAGGATTCTGTTATGGTCATTGTTGTAAATAAATGTACATATGGTACTGTTTGTTGCAAAGAGAGAAAGAAAAGAAGAAACAATATTTATACTGAATATCTCTGCATTATGTATTGTATTCCATTTTGTGATTGAAATTTTGCTCCCTTTATTTATCACAATCCTTCATCATTATCTCTTGCAAGACTCTATTTCTAAAAGTAATATATTTCGAAAAGCTCTGTATTAATTATGCATTCGTTGAAAATGCTCTAAGCGTGGTACAACAGGAAAATTAATCGTATAGAGAATTTCCGAAACATAATAGCTCCAATACAACGATAAACACGAACAAGACTTCGAGGGCGAAGACTATGTGCGGGTATGCAAAGATAGCGCAATTTTACTGCAGATGCTCGTGGCCATAATAGCTGCAAGGACTGCCACGGTAGTTGCATGCTGATCCATCAAGTTTTACGATAATTGCATAAGCAAAACGTGCTGATACACGACGTGCCAGGCATATGTTCAAAACATTGCACTTTTAGTCTTAAAGATTTTTAACTACTCGATTATCTCACATATTTGTTTATAAGTGAATACTTTTATTTATAAAAGCTAAATGAACAGCTCTTACACTAATTTTAATATTTGAGTTTTTTTTATCTTTTTTTTCCAAGAAAGATAAATTGAATACTTCATGTCAAAATAATCGAGTGGTGTAATGTTCCGCTCGGAGTCTATCCAAGATGGCGGCAAACAAATTTGCAGCGAGTCACGTCTCGCTGAAACTGGCGTGGATAGAAAGGAATTCCGAGAAGTCTTTAAAGCGTTTCCTTTTACAGTTACGATTGAATTTTATCGTGAAAGCAGCGTTCGTGATCGCGATAAAACGTTTAGCCTGAGATATTCGCGTTTCCCAGATTTTTACAGACACATTGAAGATCACAGTTTATTTTTCTCATTATTTACATTTAATGTGCTGACATAGACATGAAAGATATGAAAGATGTCATGAAATAATTCGAATCACAGAGGTAAAAAATAAATTAGCTAATTAACTGTCAAAAGAAAATATAATTTGACAATCGAAAAAAAAAGATTCTTTAAAATCACGTACCTTTAACCGCATTGAGCTTGTTTCCGACCATCTGCTTCGCGACAAACGCAGCCATTTTGTTACTTTGTGATTTTTCACACCGCTATCAAAGTCACAGAAACCTGTAAACAAAGATTGAAGCTTGTTACTTCATGTTTTTCTTTTGGTTGAAGCCTTACATGTTTCATGCGCTAATTATTTATGTTAATTAATTATTTATTATTTACACTTCTATTCTGTGGACTTGTATCTGATAAAGGTTCAGTAATATGCATTATTCTTGTGTGCGATTAATTTATCTGTTATAAAAGAGCAATCTCTTCGTAGAGTGATAACTTTATTTTATAAATACGTAATTTTTCTGGTTATAATTTTCTTTTATAATTGCATATAAAATAGTTAGCCGCTTATTATTAAATTTTTCTTAGAGTGAATTATACAAATGAGCACACAAATTATGTTCCTCCTTTATTAATTAGATTATTTTTAATTTGTTACTTATAATTGTATTTTTTTATCTTACTTAAATTTAATTCCATTTAATCTTTTTTTATGAATGTTACATTTCTTTCAATAAATTATTTCTTTAATTTATCAGTAGCGTAGTAACCGAGAATCTGTCTCTGTGAATAATTTATTTTACTTAATATTTAAATAAATAAGATTCCTATTTTTATAATTCTCTTTTATTTTGTATTATGTATAAATCTGAATTTTTATTTATCAATTCTTTTAATTGTTTAATAATTACTTAAATTATACTCTGATACATTTTTGGATTTTTTTAAACCTGAAATCTTGCAGTAATTTACCATTTAAATCATCGAGGTAGTGATTACGGGTTATAAAAAATGTAATATTTTTCTGTAATACGTATTTTCTATAATATATATTTTCTTCTCTAACTTTGTGCTACAGTGTTGAAATGAAACACGCTTCCCAAGAGATGATGTCGCATTGATGCCCACCGACGAAAGTATTTTAATCTTATGTCATATTCACACGTCGCGCCCAATATCGGAAGTAACCTTTCTGTTCCATTACGTTGATATTTCAAAATTTGACAGTACATAAAATAAACTTTCAATCGCGATAATTGAATCTGCTGAAAGTGTAGATTCTTATTTTGATTAAGTTTTTCCAAAAAATATAGCTTTAATATTTTCTTACTAAAAAGAACTGATTACTGTTCCAATAAACTGGTAAGCTCTACCAATAAATGATGATACTATACATGAATAATTCATGAAATATTAGTTACTATATAGTTAACCAATTTATTGGATCACTAATTAATTATTTTTTTTTAAGAATCAGGTAGAAAAGAAGCAGCAAGCCTAAACTTAATACGTATATCCTTGTAATTTTGTAACATAATTATGTAATGCAATATGGCGGATGGAGAGCGATCAGTTGCACTGTGAAAGAAGAGATCAATAGAGAAATATAAGGGGATAGACAAAAGAGGAAGGGGGAGGAAGAAAGCCGGAGCCTGGAGAAGACGACGCCAGTGAAACGGCGTCGAGACGTCTCGGCGCCTGTTTCCCAACCACCGACCTCCGTGATTTTCCAACAACACGCGACAATTTATGCCCTAACGATGAGTGACAGAGGGTTGCTACCCACGTGCATATATTCTTTTTCTTATTAGTTACGTAACGCACCGCTGTGTACGTGTGCTTCCCGTTATAAAAAATATTCGCGATCGATAGTTTATCTTATGTGACAATTCTTGCAGATATCTAAAAATTTTAATTTATTTATATTATAAATAAAATTTAATTAAAGTGTTATACTAATTATTAAATTTATTGTTCGCGATTTTAGTTAATCGCGAACAATAATAGAGATGGACACAAATACTATGCATATAAAATATATAAGTATATAAAAACATGAAAGAAAATATATATAGATAATTAATCAAAATGAAATTATCTTTGCAAATGTATAGGTAGAGGCGATCAAGGCAGAAAGCTTCACGATAGACGCAAGATCTTCATCATACATAGCTTCGCTATGTAATTTCACGTGCTACATCGTTAAGGGTCAAAGTGGGAGCTTGCCGAAGTGCCTCTTAGAGAGAGGAACACAGAGGAAAGGGTTGCATGTATATCTCTCGTCTTAGAGAAAGGCGCATGCCTCGTTAGGGCAGCGACGACCTGGACGGAGCTCAAGGATCCCTTGCTGTAATCTATTTAATGAAAGCGACGAACAAAATTTGTTCAATTTGATCGATGTTTCAGCTTCATCTCAAAACTAGTAAACGCAATAATAGTTACAAATAATCAATAGATTTATAAAATTACAATTACAGTCTATATTCATATAACATTCCTATTTATTTTAATATTATTATGTTTATCATAAATATTTACTCATTTTGAAAACGAGAAAATTGTATAATAATAAAAAAGAGCTCTCAATGAACAATATTAATATAAATATAAAACTCAGGCAAATCAGAGCTAAAACACAGTTATTATTTGTGTGTGAATATACAAAATTCTTTTCTTCTTTAATTCATACACATCAAGAACAAAAAAATCAACGTTTCGGTTGTTATTTTCAACCATCTTCAGGATAAAAAAACCGAAACGTTGATTTTTTGTTCTTGATGTATATGAATTAAAGAAAAAAAGAATTTTGTATATTCTCTCACACACAAATAATAACTGTGTTCTAGCTCTTATTTGCCTAAGTTTTATATCGAGAAAATTGTATATTTAATGTTATATAATTCAATATTAACAAAACTATATAGAATTATTTTTTTCTTGGGATTGAAAAAAATTATTTTTGCAATTTATCTTAATTATTCTACCGTGATATAAAAATTATAGGAAAACAATAATCATATTAAATTTCTCAAAATTGAGAAATTTCGAATACTAAATTTTTTGTCTGTTGCCACCATTACCTCTTCCGTCTTCTCGATTATATAAAAGACAGCTACTAGAAATGCGATTTGTACATGACTGCGATATCGGTAAAATATGCAGACGGCTCAAAGGATTTCATGCTTTAGTGGCTAGCAGGAAATGGAGAGTATAATAGGCAACAGGCGCGGTTCTCGTGGATGATGCGGAAAAGGTTGATAGATAGCTAATAAAAACCGACTGGTCCATGAATATCACGTTCAACTACGAGGATTTTCTAAGTATCGATAGAAACTGTTGAAAATAATTCAATGATGATGTTTAAATTAACGTGAGATCACATATAATAAAGATATATATCTGTTCAGATTGGAGGTTTATTCATCCATTTAATGTGATAAAACATTATCACGCCTCTGTAATCGACGGAATTTAACAACCAATTTACTCCGAGTTTGCAATACAACGTTCATATAGCGTTATATTCGACGAAAAATCTTGGGAAAATTGCAATATTACTTGCAATCCAGAAAGAAATTAACTCTGATACTCAATTCATCAAGTTGACATTAGGAGCTGATACGAACACGTACAAATACTCGAGTGCGATGCTCGATCAAATTATGCCGCATCATCTCGCGTAAGTAAGAAGTCATGTAAAGGAATCATCTGTCAGCGCAATCAATCGATCCATCACCGGGATCTGGGTCGAGCGGTGTTGTTAACAGCAAGAAAACCCTACTAAGAAATTTTATTCTCCCCTGTATTTCTATGTAATCAAAGAATAACGCGCGAGGGTTTGTATACACAACGGTACACACAATGCGTGTGAAAACAATTGCTCTCTACTTCGCTACATATTAATCTTACTTACTCGCGCAAGGTACATTTTATAATCCACATATTTTGTTTTACAAAACTCTACGTGCTTCTTCTTCATTACATTCGCAGATATTTTTTCATATGCTGCAACGTTCAACTTGAAAAGTTTATTTACCCCAAGGCACAATGGGCCAGACGACCCGAAATCTTGGCCAAAATTCAAAATGTTGATGGATTGGCATAAAACTCGGTATCTTTTTGGGGTCACTGATTTCGAATCCGAACTCAAAATTTAGAAATTCAAAATGGCGGATCCAACATAGCGAACAAGAATGCTAAAAATGCTTCAATTGCTGTTAAATTTGATATTCAGGGGTTTTTGGAGTCGCTGATTTCGAATCCGAACTCAGAATTTAGAAATTCAAAATGGCGGATCCAAAATGACGGCCGATTTTCTATAATAATCGTCTAATTTTTATGAAATTAAATATATAACGGTTTTTTGGATCGCTAATTCCGAATCTGATGTCAGAATTTTATAATTCAAAATGGCGGATCCAAAATGGCGACCCGAAAATGCAAAAACCAGTAAATTTTTAATGAAAACTTTTTTTCAGAATCGTTGATTACGAGTTAGATATTACAATTTTTTAAATTACAGATGACGGATCCAATATGGCTAACTTCAAAGTGAACATTTAATAAAATTTGGAGAAAAAAGTTCGAACTTGTAAATTTAAATTACTATTGCTCTTTGCCGTACCCAGAGTCACGAATCGAGGACATGGCGGATATTGACTCCATTTTGCTGTTTTTTTTTATTTTTACTTTTTTGTATTTTATTTTTTAATTTTTTTTGTATTTTATCATTTTTATATTTTTAACATTTTTTTAAACTGGTTAATTAGTATTCAAGTGTAATTACAAATTTCCTTCATCACACTGCTCTTCATTAGTCATCTCCGCATCATGCAAACTTTCGTAAAAATTTTGTAAGGTCGCTTGAGTCATCTTCTTTCTCGGTTTCATTTCATTCAGAAAGAAAATCCATTGACTGGTCGAACTTAGGAATGTCAAGCAAGTGAATTACTTCTTTGGGGATAGCTTTGTGCTGCCTTTTCTGAATTCGCGAATTAAGGTTAAGTGTAGATATAATGGGGTCAGAAGTATCCATAGTTCTGTTAAATACATCTTCTATTGTTGCGAGACGAGAACATTTTTTTCTTTTTCTCAATCAACCGAGACCGAGAAAGAGGATGACTCAAGCGGCCTTACAAATTTTTACGAAAGTTTGCATGATACGATCATTTGGCTAATGAAGAGCAGTATGATGAAGATTTGTAATTATGTTTGAATAATAATTAATTAATTAATTTTCAAAAATGTTTAACTACATTCAAATTTTAAAATAAACAAATTAA